TGGGTTAAAAACAAATGCAAGTGATACAGCCTTCTTTGCTTAAATAAAAACCTATCCATAAGGTACTAGTGAATTCCTGCCCAAGAAAACAGTGACTGAGACTGGGAGTATCCCCATAGTATCATGCGGGGATGACGTATGATGTCAGAAGTCTCATAAACATCTTCCTGTAATTACACTTACATTGTAATTACATTAGTTTTGAAATAGGATTTCTATAAAACACTTTCAGCGCTAAGTGATGAACAAGGAGCACCCTGAAAACAGTCATCACTGTCTGTAAGGCAATCTGTCACTCCCTCTCTGTTCCCTGCCTGATCATTCACAGCCTCCAATACACATAAACAAAGCAGCTTCTGTTCTTGCTCTAAAGCTAAAGCTGCTTCTGACTACAAACCTGCTGCCCCTGTGATAAAGAATGAGAATCCAAGAGCAATTCCACAGAAGTTTGTTTTGCCTCAGAAGATGATGGTGCCTCTGGGGGAAGACATTTTGTCTGTGCTGTAGTCACTGAACTTTCTAAGTGTAACAGGTTATTCTGGTGAAGGAAAACAGATCAAAGAATGGTATGCCTGTCTAAACTTGCTAAGCTATGGCTAAGCTATGGCTAAGGGAAAGCTAACTACTTCAGCCTTGAAAAGACCTGTGGATAACATTTGGGGGGGTTGTCATACCAAGATTAACACATTCAATGTCCCACAAGCCTGCACTAGAGTAATAGCCTACCTGTAAGCAAGAGGTATAGCCAGTGTGCTGAAATAAATAACTGGCTTCTAATAGTATGTGAACCACAGGCCACCAAACCCTGGTTATCTAGTGGTTGAAGGCAACAATACCTAAAGTTTTAGGGCTTCCTAAACTTTTAACATTTATTGAGTGTGGTATTAACAGTACCATGCCAGCTAGACATCCTTAATGGGTATAGTGAGTCACGTACTGCAGAAGTTTAACTGCATTCAACACTGAAAGGCAGATAACACTGGGTCACAGGAAGTGAGTGGACAAAAGGGCCAGAAGATTAAGAAATGTGGGTTTACAGCAAAGGATTACCTAACATGAGGTTGACTGTACTTCTCTGCAAAGTGGCTGGGTCATCACTTGCCCTGAAGTGTAAACAAGGCTTTAAACTGTATCTTAATGGCAAACCCTAGCATAAGTATGTGAAGTATCCAAAACCCAGGCATAACAGCAGTGGGTATGAACAAAGTGAGCTGGGAAGACAGTAAGAATACACAAAGTTTACTGTGAAGACATACCAATAAATATAAACATAATTTAAAAAAATTTCCACCAAAGCTTATTTAATACTCAACTGAGACGAAGTTTACAAAATCCTGCCTAATTTTATTAGCACTGTCAAGCACTCTTCAGGCATGACTATTCAGCCATCAGAGAGAATTCCACTCATCTAAAACAAAAATAAATAGATATGACATTCAAGCTTCAACAAAATACATTCTGAACAAATTAAACAAGTTATCATGGGCATAGGAATGAAAATACATCATGCGTAGAATAAGCCAAAAGAATCAATGATGAAGAAGGGAATCATCTCAAGAGGTAAAGTGTGTTCTGAGCTTATGAAGATCAGTAGGCTCAGGACACTCATTTTCCATGCAGTTATGAGCCCTTCCAGACAACAGTAATACCTGAGATAGCACCATATTACCAAATATCAGAAGCAAAAGAGGCTGAAATGAAGAGGAAAAATGGCCTAAGGAAAGGACAGATCATAAAAAGGAAAATGGAAAATAGATAGAAGTCCTTTGAGAAATGGTGTTTCTTCTGATTTACATCTGGCCCATTTAGATGTCACTGGAAGAAAATTCTTGGTAAATATCATGCCACAATAAAAAGGGCTCTGACATACAAGAATAGAGATGGTATTCTACTCCTGACAGGAATCCATTACAGAAAATTTGCTCTGCTCGTGAATTGCTAAGTGGCACTAACGATAAGGTATTTAACTCATACTCTACAAGCATATACAGAATTATCTGTCATTTTCCAAGGACTTTTTCTTTTTTTTTGTGACAGTAAATAGATAGCAACATTCCTACCACAGTGGAAGAGATTATTTTATAAGCACTACTACAACTACTACAATCCACTTGCACTGATGTCTCTGTATCTGGATTTTAAAAAGGGGCCCTAGATATGAACCCACATTCTTTCCACACATTAAATGAGAAAAAAATGAAGGCTTCAGTTTTGAGAGGACATTCTCTAACTGTGAAATACTAATCCTTTTGTGAACCACACAATTCTCCAGATAATTTCCATTCCAATGGCATGAACAGAAAGTCATGCAAACATCATCATCATGCTACATAAGCTGACAAAATGACCAAGACCTCATCTGAGATGAAAAAGAGAGTAAGTTCAAACCCTGTCCTTACAGAAAGGTATTTTGATTTTAAATCTCAACTGTTCAATTCAACGAATGCCTGAAGATAAGAAAAAAAACCTAAGCATGAAGAAAGCAAAAACTGTTGTAAACATGCTCTACAGAAAGTACATCAAGCTTTTCCCCTTCATACATCATTCCTTCTGTTTAGATAATTAAGCTGAATATCTCATTTTAGCCAGTGACCCACACTGCACAGCATTAGCTGCTTTAACAATACTGAAGCAGGAAAAGGAATTAAGTAATTTACTGTGTAAATGGTAAACCACAAAAAGAAAAAAAAAAGGAAAAAGAAACAGAAGCAATTCAGTAGCCATGTTTCAGTAGAGTGTCAACTTCACAAACAAAACAAAAATTGTAGGATTTCTAGTAATTTAAATGAACAAATTTTGGCATTTCAAATAAATCAGGAATTATCAGGGGCTGATTGCTTGAAGCATATTGCTTAGAGTTAAGACTAGCACACAAACAAATTGCAAATGAAGCCAAATATTTTTACCTTTCGATACATCATCTTCAACATAGACCATAAAGGCGAATGTGCCCCCTGCAATCTTAATCCTGTCATAGCTTTCTTGCACTCCATATAGGAAGAATTTTCCCAGTTGAAATAGCAATTTTTATTCAAAAAATGTAGAGCTGATTTGGATTAGGCTAAATTCTAAACTGGAGTTTAACTCCCCTCTTAACAGAAAGTCTTGAAGATAAGGCTTAAGGCCAGTAGTTCTTCCAACTGCTCTGAAAATCCAACCATGATTACTAACAGAAGAAACATTTCATAGGCTTTTGTTAAAGCTAAGTTTTCTTAAAATGGATAAAAACAGAAAAATCTTCAGAAGAACTGAGGAAAAAAAACAACAACAAACCAGAAAACAGCTATCTCTGAAGTTATATCTCACTTTCTTAGGTTACTTTTCACTGTTATGATAAAAAGTCCAGTGCATCATGTGCTAAGAGAAGGAGAGGAGGAAGTCAGTACTCATCTTCATAGACAAAAATTTACTTCTGTCTCAGTTCAACAAAAATTAAAGTGAAAAAATGAGCTTGCAACATTAAACAGACATCCAATTCAAAGTTAGATCAGGAAATACACTGAGATCTAAAAACGCAAAATAAAAAATCCAGGTTAAATAATTACAATTTATTACTAAGTAATTTTCTCCATATGAAGAAAGGCTGGTATTTCTTAGAACTGTGGATTCTCCTCAGCTCTAAAGAGATTCAAGCATACCAGAAGTGTCAACTACAACTTTAATTGCTTTTCACAGATTTTAGTTTGAAGGAGAAATAACAATCATTCAGAAAAAACCCTCAGGGTACAATTTCTAATGCAGTAAATAAAAATCCTCAATTTGTATCAATTTCCCTTTCTGCATCTGTAGTACATTGCTCTAAATATAGACTATCCCTGATCATGTCAAACTTAGAGCTTTTTTTCACAAAAAAATTACCTCCATTTTATCTACCTTAATATATTTCACTAAAGTCTGTGTTTAGAAGTATATTCCATTAAGTTAACTGTTTAAGTGCATGTGCTTTAAATAATCACTTGCAGAGCGCATTAAAAATAAGACATCCTGATTCTTTTTGGCCTATTAAGGTTTTGTAAACTAAAAATATACCTCTCAATTTTTTGCTGCTCTCTCTGCTCCTCCTCTCTCGTAAAAGCAGGCCTTAAAAACAACAAGATTTTAAAGATGCAAAGGTTTTTTTAAAACTTTATATCCTGCGAAAAGTGAGGAGCACTAAACTGGTATCAAACAAAAAACAATCCCAAACAGCTCTCTCAAAAAAGATATAAAGGTGAAAACAAAGAGGAGAATAACCCAAAGCCACAGGGTCTAATGGCAATTGTCTCCAGCCGACTCTCTACAGTGGCTTAAAGTTTGACTGTTTATCAGTTTTAGCACACTGTCCATGTTGATGTTTATGAACTGCAACTACCCCACAACATCACTTTTGTTTATATTGCTAACTCTGGCCTCCTGCATTATATGGTATTCCCCTTGTGCCTGTCGGTCTCCAGTATGTTTTCTTTCAATCCTAAATCAATTAGAAGGTAGTAAAAAAGATGCAGTGGAAGTATCTATTTATATGTTTACTGTTCTCATGTTGTCTTATTTACCAGAAAGAATTACTCACAATCAACAATCCCTACAGACAAATAAAAAGCACATAAGTAGAAAGTTCTATTCTTATCCTAACAGCAGTTTGCATACACACTAATTTTCATATTATCTGCAAAAAAAAGATCCTTTCCACAGAACAGATCCTCCTGGAAAATCTAAGGAAAATAAGGAGGTGATTTGTGACAGCCAGCATGGCTTCACTAAGGGCAAATCATGCCTGACGAATTTGGTAGCCTTCTATGACACGGCTACAGAGACAGTGGATGGTGGCAGAGCATTTGACACTCTTCCACATGACATCCTGGTCTCCAAACTGACAAGACATGGATTTGGCAGATGAACCACTTTGTGAAGTAATTGGCTGGATGGCCACACCCAGAGTGTTGTGGTCAAAGTCTCAGTAGTGGTGTTCCTCAGGGGTCAGTATTGGGACCAGTATTGTTCCAATATCTTTCTTGGGAGACATGGACAGTGGGATTGAATGTAGCCTTAACACGTTTGCTGACAATACCAAGCTGTGTGGTGTGGCTGACACCCCAGAGGGAAAGAACGCCATCCAGAAGGATCTTGACAGGCTGGAGAAGTGGGCCAATGCCAATCTCATTAAGTTCAACAAAGTCAAGTGCAAGGTCAGTGGAACCCCAGGCACAAATACAGGCTGGGGCAGAATGGCTAGAGAGCAGCCCTGAGGAGAGGTAATTGGGGGTAGTAGTAGATGAGAAGCTCAACATGAGCTGCCAGTGTGTGCTCGCAGCCCAGAGAGCCAACTGCATCCTGGGCTGCATCAAAAGAAGTGCCCCTCTGCTTAGGTGAGGCTGCATCTGGAGTTCTGTGTACAGTTCTGGAGCCCTCATCACAGGAATGACATGGAGATGTTGGAGAGGGTCCAGAATAGGGCCACAAAAATGATCAAAGGGCTTGAACACTACTGCTATGAAGACAGGCTGAAAGAGTTGGGGCTATTCAGCCTGGAAAAGAGAAGGCTCCAGGGAGACCTTACAACAGCCTTCCAGTCCCTGAAGGAGCCTACAGAAAAGCTGAGGAGGGGCTTTTCACCAGAGAGGGCAGTGATAGGACAAGGAATAATAGTTTTAAACTGAGAAAGGGTAGATTTAGGTTACACATCAGGAGGAAATTCTTCATCATGAGGGTAGTAAGGCACTGGAATAGGTTGCCCAGGGAGGTTGTGGAAGCACCATTCCTGGAGATCTTTTAAGTTGGATGAAGCCTTGTGCAGCCTGGTCTAGTGTGAGGTGTCCCTGTTCATAGCAGGGAGACTGGAACCTGATGATCTTTATGGTCCCTTCCAATGTTAACTATTCCATGACATGATTCTATATGAGGAAAGAAAAAAGCTGACTATACATAATTATACAACTCAGTATAGAAAAAAATAATTTCCATCAATTTGAATTTGCATGAGATACTGATGTTTCTCTAGAAATAATTTAAAAATAAATATAAATTAAAATATTATCAATAATAATAATAATAATAATTAATAAATACCCAGAAATTGTGGTGGATTTCTGCTAGTATTTTGGGGAAATTAACAGAAGGATTACTACTTCCTTACATCAAATTTAAAATGAAAATCAGCTTCCAGCAGCTTACACTAGATGATCAGCTTTCTCTTCTACTACCTACAATACCTGACAGCAATCTATGGCTCATCAACCATGACAACCTACAGAGAGGAGACTATTCAGCATGTCCATCTGATGAGTCACTCAAGGTGACTCACAAAAATTTCCATAACTTAAGTTCTAACACCTGTATTCCTCTTTGCAAAAGCAACAGTTCTTAAGCCATAATAATGACCCAGAAACACTCACCAAGGTCTCTGAACAGGAAACAAAATCCCCCTCTTTGTGAAGGTGAAATTTTGTAATTTTAGGCACAAAAGTAGGCAACTGTATCAAAGCTGGTCTGGTTTTAAACTTTCCATACAGCTTCTCCTATTGTAGATAATCAGGGCTGTAGGGGATTAATACCTCTATTAATAATGCTGTTTTTCAGGTTTCAAAGCTCACACGCCCAGGTTGGCCCACACTTGTATTTGTACATGTAGACAATGGAAACCGAATTTTTCAGTGTTTTACACTGGAGAAAATCCTTCACAGACAACAGCATTAATGATACTTCACATGACAACCTCGAAAAGCTAGCTATTTGTACAGTATATTTTTTTCTTACATTCAGCATCAGTTCTGAAACTCATCAGGTCTCTTCTTTAAGATATTCTGTAACCCTCTCTGTAGAATCCACTCTCCAAGGTATCTTTCCATGCTCATACAGTAATTAACGTAAAGGAAATTCTCTTGCAGTAAAGTGGCAGGGGTTGCTAGAAAAAAAAGCATGGAAATAAAGCCTTTGGATCTCCATTCCAGAATAAATTCCTGCTTAAGTTTTACCCAAATCATCCTCTCAGCATTCAATTCTGTTTAGCTTTCCCTCAAATGAGAGTCATGCCATAGTAACCCTGAAAGTGCTGTGGTGAAAAGAACTTTAAGATCATAGAGTCCAACCATCAACCTAACTCTACCAAATCCAGTGCTAAACCATGTCCCTAAGCACCAAAGCTACACAACTATTAAGTATCTCCAGGAATGGTGATACAACCACCTCCCTGGGCAGCCTGTTCCAGTGTTTGATAACCCTTTCAGTGAAGAAGTTTCCTCTAATATTCAATCTAAAAGTCCCCTGGTGCAACTTGTGGCCACTTCCTTTTGCCCTGTTGCTGGTTACTAGGGAGAAGAAACCAAGACCCACCTCACTAGAACCTCATTTCATATAGTTGCAGAGAGCAATATGGTTTCCCATAGGCCTCCTTTTTTCCAGACTGAACAACTCCAGTTCCTTCAGATGGTCCTAGTAAGACTCATCCTCCAGATCCTTCAAGCAGCTTTGTTGCATTTCTTTGGACATGTTTCAGCACCTCCATGTCATTCTTATAGTGAGGGGCCCAAAACTGAACACAGTACTCTAGGTGAAACCTCACCACTACCAAGTATAATGGGACAATCGCTTCCCTCGTCTTGCTGGCCACACTACTCCTGATACAAGTCAGGATGCTGTTGGCCTTCTTGGCTACCTGAGCACACTGCTGGCTCACATTCAGCAGGCAGGCAGTCAACACCCCCAGGTCTTTCTCTGCAGACCAGATTTCCACCAACTCTTCCTCAAGCCTGTAGCGTAGCATGGGGTTGTTGCAACCAAAGTGCAGGATCCAACACCTGGCCTTGTTGAACCTCATACAATTGGCTTCAGCCCATTGATCCAGCCTGTCCATGTCCCTCTATAGAATCTTCTTACCCTCAAGCAGATCAACACTCCCACGCAACTTGGTGTCATCTGCAAACTTACTGAGGGTGTACTTGGTTCCTTCATCCAGATAATTGGTAAAGATATTAATAAGAGAACTGACACCAACACTGAGCCCTGGGGAACACCACTGGTGACCAACCACCAGCTGGATTTAACTCCATTCACTACAACTCTTTGGGCACAGCCACTCAGTCAGTGTTTTACCCAGCAAAGCATACCCCCACCAAGCCATGAACAGCCAGAAGAATGCCATAGGAAACAGTGTTGAAGGCTTTACTGAAGTCCAGGTAAACAACATCCACAACCTTTCCCTCATCCACTAAGCAGGTCAGCTTGTCATAGGAGATCAGGTTAGTCAAGCAGGACTTGCCTTTCATAGACCCATGCTAACCAGACCTGATCACCTGGTTGTCCTGCATGTGCTGTGCAATGGCACTGAAGGTGATCTGCTCCATAACCTTCCCTAGCACCGATGGCAGACTGACAGGCATATAGTTCCCTGGATCCTTCTTCCAGCCTTTCTTTTAGATGGGGGACACATTTTCCAATCTCCAGTCAACTGGGACTTACCCAGTTATCAAGGACTGCTAGTAAATGATGGAAAGTAGCTTGGTGAGCACTTCACCAGCTTCTTCAGTACCCTTGGCTGCAGCCCATCCAGCCCCATAGACTTATCTATGTCTAAGTGGTGCAGCAGGTTACTAACCATCTCCCTTGGATCACGGGGCTTCAATCTGCTCCTCATGCCCATCTTCCAGCTTAGGGGGTTGGGTACCCAGCAAACAACTGGTCCTACTACCGATTACCCCAGTCACCATTACTAGACTTACCCATGGTCTGAAGCAGTGACTGAAGATACACACAGTATCCAGTACACCAAGGAGTAACAGGAATGATAATTTCTGTTTCATCTTCTGCTCCTTTTCCTAAACACTTCTGCCTTTATTTGCATCTTTTATAGCTACTGAGTACAAAGATTATGCCCTCAAAGACTTATCCAAAAGAGCAAAATTTCTCCCAAAGGATCACAACTAAATAAGCCTCTGTTAAGGCAGCCTTGTAAGAACTGTTTTCATTCTCTTCCTGTAGTATGCATTACTTTGCATTTAGCAATCTTGAATCCCAGCAGCTACTTACTGTCCAGTGTCTCTATATTTTGAAATTCTTCTTTAACCTCTCACAATCAACTTTGGATTGTGTGATTTTGTATGCCTAGCTGAACGACCGCATACATTGTTCCTTTGTCTAGAACGTGCATGAATTTGCTGAGGACATATATCCTTGAAGACTCCATTGCAAAGACATCTGTGAAAATTGATCATTTAGTCTTGCCCTTTCCTCATCTTCTGGCCAGTTATTAATACAACAGGAGGTGTTTCCTCTTAATCCACAACAGCTGACTTCCTTTAAAAGCCTCTGGCAGGAGGTACTGTCAAATGCTTTTTATAAATCGAAGTGCATTATACCAGCCACATGCTTGTTGCCCACTCAAAGGACTCTAACTGCTTTGTGAAGCATAACTTCTAACTAAAGAAACTGTAATGTCTTCACAGTATTTATGTGTTTCCAGAATTTTTATGGTACTTTACTTTCTTGAAACTGCTAGTTCTACTTCCCTCCTAGGCCTCTATTGTATCACACCTGTCTCTTCCACTCCTCCGGCAAACACAGCCTGATGTAATGGGTGGGTTTACACACTTGTGACAAAAAAAAAAATAAAAAAAAATCATACTTCCATATGTGAGCTATTTTACAAATTAAGTGAATATGCTTTGACCTGGGTGATAACTTCCTATTTTACTGAGTCACCCTCAATATATTAAAAGATGGCTTCTCTTGTCCACACTTGAAAGAAACTCTTTGGTCCGGGGATTTTTCAGTCCTCCACAGGGAATTCAACTGCAAAGAACTCATACAAGAATGCCAGATAACAGTACAACACAGGTAATGTTTATAAGATGATTGCTGAGTAACATTGTGAACCAGATGTCCTGCATTACTTAAGATTTAAATCTGCTCTTTGTACGTGAAGGCAAATGATCAAAGAATATCCTTGACAGTTGAAAAAGTGTTCCCTCTGCTCCCTCTTGAAGGCAAATTAAGTTTTCTGATACCACCACAGTTTTTTCTTACTGTCTTTCATGTCTTGTAGCATTTTACAAAATTGTCAGCATTCTGATAATGTGGTCAGCAGCATAGCTACAAAATTATAAACCCCTTCATCTACTTTTAAGGTTTATTTTAACCAACATCAATTAACACATCTTAGTTTATTCCATTCTCCTTAACCACACAGCAACTT